AGAGAGAGAGAGAGAGAGAGAAAGAGAGATAGGCAGAGGGAGGGACAGGCTTCATGCAGGGAGCCCGATGTAGGACTCAATCCCGGGACTCCAGGATCACCTCCTGGGTCGAAGGCAGACGCTCAACGCTGAGCCACCCAGGCATCCCTCAAAGCCAAGGATTTGGACTTGATTCTGCAGACATTACAAGCCAATGAAAAACTAGCCTGACTGAAAAGATGGTTAAGACCATCTCTATTTAAATGGGAAGCTGGGGGATCCCTGGGTGGCGCAGCGGTTTGGCGCCTGCCTTTGGCCCAGGGCGCGATCCTGGAGACCCGGGATCGAATCCCACGTCGGGCTCCCGGTGCATGGAGCCTGCTTCTCTCTCTCTCTCTCTCTCTCTCTCTCTCTCACACTGTGTGCCTATCATAAATAAATAAATAAAAAATTTAAATGGGAAGCTGGTGATGAGTAACTTAGCAGTATATTTTACCCTTATTTTATTTGGATTGTGTAAACCTGCCTTTCAGTCCAAAAGAGTACTGGGTCACATTTAGGTGACACATTTCCTCCAGACAACCTGGAGAACTTCAGGAAGTGGTGGGGATGATTCAGCAGGGGACGTCTTCTTGAACCATGCAGTGATTGGGTATTTGGGTAGAGTTATTCTTGCCAGGTTGTGAAGAAGTCTTTCCATAATTTATGTGGATGATCGCTCAGCCTTTTTCCAGATGGAAACCAAGCAGAGGATGAGACTAGATAGGAACAAATTTGGAAGATTTGGGGTCCCTGGTAAGTCTATCCTGAAGGCTTTCTGAAGGTCCTGAAGTGGCCTTAACTTCAGGGAAAGATAGACATTGGTTAGTTTGGTTCTTTGATGACTTGGTAAAAAAAAAAAAAAAAAAAAAAAAAAGTATTGTGGACTTTTATATGCCTTTATATACCCCAGGGTCAGCTCTAATTTTATAATTAGAAGGGTCTTGCAAGTCTATGGAAGTCCATTCATATTCTTATTTTAGGTACCTTATCTTAAACTGTGCAGAGGTATAGTTTGCTGTCTCTACTTAACATTTCTAACCTAAATTTCTTTTGAGATATCTATCATATGTAACTTTTATAAAATTAAAATTATTATCAGGATAGCACAGAGATTAATAATAGTAACGCTGGACCCAGATTGCCTGAGTTCTGATCCTGATTTTCCCACTTAATAGCAATGCGACTTTGGGCAAGTTATTTTAATTACTGGTTTCTTCATCTGTAATATGGGGGTGACCATTTACTTTCCTTAGTGCATTTTTGTCAGAATTAAATGAATGAATTCATTGTTCATTTGTTAAAAGTAGAACCCTTAGAATAGTTCCTGGCACATAAGTTCCCAATAAATATCATCTATTGTATTGTAATGAGAAAATTAAAGCAGCTAAAGGATAAGTGACTTAGGTAGCTATCCAATAGGATGAGTAAACCAGAATTAGTGTTTTTTTTTTTTTTTTTTTTTTAAGATTTTATTCATTCATGAGAGACACAGAGAGAGAGACAGAGAGAGGCAGATACACAGGCGGAGGGCGAAGCAGGCTCCACACAGGGAGCCCGACATGGGACTCGATCCCGGGACCCCACGACCATGCCCCGGGCCAAAGGCGGAGCCACCCAGGCTGCCTAGGATTACTGTTTATTTCAACATTTAGTGGACTATGAATGTATTTCAGTGGTCAGCTGTGCTATGCTAACATAGAGACCAGAGGTCAGGAAACATTTTCTTAAAGGGACAGATCAGTTAATATTTTATACTTTGTAGGACTTAGAGTCTCTTCTGCAACTACTCAACTCTCATTGTGTCCTGCAAAAGCAGCTATAGACAGTATGTAAATGAATAGGTATGGCTATGTTCCAATAAAACTTTAATTTCAAAAACAGGTTGCAGGGATCCCTGGGTGGCGCAGCGGTTTAGCGCCTGCCTTTGGCCCAGGGCGTGATCCTGGAGACCCAGGATCGAATCCCACGTCTGGCTCCCGGTGCATGGAGCCGGCTTCTCCCTCTGCCTATGTCTCTGCCTCTCTCCCTCTCTGTCTCTGTGACTATCATAAATAAATAAAAATTAAAAAAAAAAAACAGGTTGCAGACTGTATTTGTAGACCTCTGCTTCAGATACTTAGGTTATATTGTGTAGAGACTTGAATTACATTTAGTTTTTTTTTTTTTTATTTTTTAAAATTCATTTGAGAGAGATAGCTTGTGCCACAGAGTGTAAGCAGTGGGGAGGGACAGAGAGAGAAGAAGCAGACTTCCTGCTGAGCTGGGAGCCCAATGTGGGACTCAATCCCAGGACCCCAGAATCATGACCTGAACCAAAGGCAGGTGCTTAACTGATTGAGCCATCCGGGTGCCCCTGGATTCCATTTAGTTTTAAAGTATGAAATAGATATTATTGTAATAAACAATAACCTCGCCTCCAAATGATCATGTCTAACATGTATTTTCACTTATGATGGTCATGCCTTAGAAGAGCAAAGGGATTTAGAAAGTAGTAATAAATGTGTTTTCCCATCTCAAAGGGAAGGGATACACAGAAGTCACTTACTTAATGGCTTGGAGGATTATTCTTAGAATTTGAAGTCTGACTTGGGCAAGATGCTAAGGGTTGTTTTATTAGATAAACGTAAATGCAGACTTTTGTTAATTATTGTGTAGGAAATATACACGAGTCAAATAACAGGCTATTTTAATTATCATTGGCATTACACAACAGGTTTTTCTGCTAGGAATGTTTTTTGCATGGGTTTGAATTTTTTTATGGCTGGCTTTTCAGTTTAATAAAGTGTTCTTTTTAAATTAAACTTGTCAGTGGACCTTTTTGTGAGTGGCTGTGTTGGTTAGTTCATATTTATAGCTTACGTCTGTTTCTGAGGAAATGACTAAAGTCTCTTGCATTCGATCAAAACTGTATGACAAAGGACATCTTTGACTTGGTTAAACAAGGCTCATGATGGAAAGTCAAAAAAAATTGAACAGTTCATGTTTATAAATGTTTTTATGTATTCAGTCTTGGTTGGGCCAAATAATCAGAGCTCTGTGCTAAGGGAGGGATTGAAAATAGTGCCTCTCAAGTGAATGGATTCCTCTGGAGCAAGTTCAGGAAACTCTTTCTTAAAATTCTCTTTAAAATTTTTCTACATGTTTAGAATTAGGTCTTATAGAATATAGGTATCTGATTTTTCTTCTCTTTAAACCATTCCATTGATATTTTCTCCATCCTCCTTTGTATCCAATAGGCCTTGGCCTGTGTGACATCTAAACCTTGCCCTTGTAATTTCCAGCAAGGAGGCTGATGGGGACTGGGAAGGGACCTGGGATGTCCCAGAAATGTGCTGTGTCTTGCTGCCTGCTGGAGGTCCCTGTTTCCCTCCCTTAGTCCTGTCCTCTATGATGCCTTCCTCCTGCTAATATTGGTATCCTTCCTTCTGCTCTTTGCTCCAGGGCAGGAAATGAAGACACAGATGAGGCTCCCGCCTACTCAGACTCAGGTTGACCAGGGATCTCGGCTAGAACTTTCATTCCCCCACAAAAGCCCTGTTAGAAAAGGTGGTTGGATTTTGTGTGATTATTGTTCTAGATCATTGGAATTTTCTTTGCTGTTAATGTAATCATTAATTGCAAGTCTTTTATGAGCACTCCAGGAAACCTCTTCTCCAGCCAAATCTTGGATCTGCGTGTGAAATTGCTGTACTTGCTGTCACACATCACTCACCCCTGCCTCCATTCTCAGAAGCACCTATGGAGTAGGGTTCCTCTGCACTCATTTAACAACTGTTTATTTTTGGAGCACACACTAGTCTTGAAATTGGGCTAGCCTATGTATATATGCATCATTAATTGCTTAACGTTCACCTGGATTGGTGTGTCTATATGGGTTATATAGGAAGCTGACTTTAGGGGTGACCAAATGGACAGATGCTTACCTGAATTGAGAGATTTCTTTAAGACAGCCTCTGTTCATGCCTGAAATTCCATTGTCAGTAATGCATTTTATTTCAGTGTTAAGCACCTGCCTCTTTTGAAGCTCTTTTTCAAATGAAAATGTCTTCGGGAAAGATATCCATTAAACTGTTTGAACCTTAGAGCTGATCCTATTGCTTCCCTACTGAATTAAACATCTGGGGTCACTGACTCCTCAAACGAGTAGATAGAAAAAGGAAGGAGCCACACTGCTAGTTCATAATTTTGTCTGGGACAGGCTTTGATTACATTTGATAAACACATGTGAGGTAACATTTCTGGTTTTTAACTTGGAGATACTTTGCTTTCTCATTTGGATGGAAGTGATTACGAGATATTTGAATAGTGAGCACCTCAAAAGGAAGTTCTATTCCTAAATACTCGTATACTACCAAAAAATATATCCTGTTACTATAATGGTGAGGATATACATGCCTATACGTATAGTCCTGGCAATTTTTTTCTAAATATCTTATTTATTAGAGGTAAGGGTATCAATCAACTTTAATCACAAGTCTTGATAATGAAAGTGTTTATCTTCTACCATATTGTCTGCATATTGATTTTTTTATTGATTTCCCTTTTATTAATTTTTTTAACCTAAGAACCAAGTATTGTAAATTTTTGATTTATTTCTCAGCATTCATTGAGTGCCTAACATGTGCCAGGTAGTTTGTGCTATAAAAAGGAATGATGATGGTTTTCTACTGAAACTCAGGCTTCAAGGAATATTTGAGTTTGTCCAGCAACTGGGAAGTAAGGAAGAAAGAAGAAGGGAGTGCTGGGGGGAGGAAATGAAGGGGGAGAGAGGAGAAAAGATAACTAGAAGGAAGTTAGTTAAATCTGTTGGTCCGTAACACATTTTCTTGTTTTTAATTACACATGTGTAACCTAGTTTGATGCTCTTTGTTTTTTATACAATAATTCACCATTTTATAGGCCTTACTTTTGTTCCTCTTGTGTGCTCTAATTTGAAATTAGTTTTAATTAATCTTTTTTTTATATTTGTTTCTTTTCAGTATAAAAGAGTTTTATGGATCAGTTTGCTCATAAGCACATGGAAAATTTGAAGAGCTGAAGAAAATAAAAAATCAGCATTAAACTTGCTTTTTAAAATGTGAGTCAACTCTCTCCTCTCTGTGGTTTATTTCTGACATCTTTAAAGCCTGCAGTTACCTTTCTGTGTCTTCAGTTTGTAAATCTTTTTCCCAGTAGTAAAGTTATTTGACTATGTACGTCTACTCATTAAGTCATTAAGTCTATGAGACTTGATGGCCCATCTCCCTCTTGAAAAGTTAGATAATAAAAGTACTATGACTCACCTAGGAGACTGTAGAATTTAGAATGTTTTAGTAGTCAGTGAACACATCTGTTTGGCATTGAGAAAGAGAACACAGACCTGGTTGCGCATGAAAAGCACCGCTGTCTTCTCAAATTCATTATTGCTCTTTGTCTCACAGGTATGGAGCATCAAAGCCAGTAAGAATTGGGTCAACCCATTAATGATCCTTATAAGCTTAGAAAAAGGAGATGTTTTCACATAGGGTTATTTACTCCCTTCTTCCCTGCACCTCTTGTTCAGTAATAATAATAATAATACTTAACTGTTTATTGAGCATCTGCTAAGTGACAAGTACTGGACTCCCTCAATTCGATCAGTATTTATTCAGTAAATACTTTTTCTGAGTGTTTGCAACATGCCAGGCACAGCTCTGACACTACTACCTGATAATGCCATGGCAACCTTTCAAGGTAGGAGTTAATATTTCCGTGATCTACATGAGGATATTGAGGTTGAGAGTAAGGTAGGTAATAGGCTGATGGTCACACAACTGGTAAGTGACAAAACCTAGAGTGGGAACATGGTGCCAACTTTTTCTGATTGGCTGTATCCTAAAGGGTGTTTCAAATGCTCTTCCTGGCTCTGCTTTTGGTAGGAGACTGGAACCTTCTGGGTTGTATTCATAATAGGAATATGATCCTAATCCCTCTAAACCTTGGCCATAGTCACAACAAGGAAGGAAATTAGAGAAACATCCTTCCACATTTGAGAGGTAGCTGTGGTGCTTGGGTGGAGAGTTAAGAAATACAGTGTCCAGTCCCAGGCTTTCCATGGATTTCCTCTGTGTCCTTGAGATAACATACCCGGGAAACAATTACTTTTATTCATGCCAACTGAGGAGAGCAGACCAGATGTGCTCCGAGGTCTTTTTCAGTCAGCTTTTTATGGAAATATGGAGGAAAGTGCACAAATTATAAGTGGATGGCTTGATGGAATAATTGTCACAAAGTGGACACACCTTTGTAACAGCACCCAGATTAATGAAAGATTGCCAGGACCCCAGAACCTGCCTCTTCTAATGCTCCTGGGAATAACTGATTGATTAGTTTTGCCTATTTAAAAAAACACACGTGAATAGAATCATGTACTATATATTCTTTTGTGTCTGGCTAATTTTTCTGATTATATTTGTGAAATTTATCTACAATATTGTTTTTTGTTCTCAATTCTCCTTGCTGTCATGATATTCCGTTATATATCTGTTTTACAGCTGCTGGACATTTTGGTAGTTATCCAGTTTGGATGAATAACAAATAGTGTGCTTCAGTGAATATTTTTGTGCATGTCTTTTGGTAATGCTGAGGGACTACTCAGTAATTTAGATTATGCAGATCTGGGGAGTGATGTTGAACTAAATGTCTCTTAAAGCAGACAAATTGATTTTCGGTAGCTAGGTGATTTGTCTGCCTCAGCCTGACGGTGACGGTCTGAGCCTGTGTTTTCTTCATAGATCACACTTGAGGGGATGGCCAGGTGGTACCTTCTCTGCTATGTGTGTGGTGTGGGAGGGCTTGCTCCCCTGGAAGAGTAGGGCTTTGGTTGGTACAGGAAGTGGTTACAGAGAGGAAGAGAAACTAAATCCAGAAGAGAGAGATGTCTGAGCTATCCTAGAAATGATTAGGCTATCTCGTCAGCCAGATCAAGAGCCTGGAAAAGTGACAACCCAGGGGAAGAATCTCTGCTGTGAAACCTGAAGAGTTTGGGAAGATGAATAAAGGAATAAATATTGATCCAGGGAGGCAGGCTGAATCTCCGAAGGCGATTAACATTTTCAAAGCATTTTCTGAACAAAGTTATCCTAATCTTGTCAAATTGCTTTTTAAGTCTAATTTTCTTTTAAGGGAGCTTTGAAAAACCAGTCCCTAATGTAGGAATCTTGAGCCAAGATGGACTTAAACAGTAGAATGACCAAACTAGGAAAAATATGTATTTTCAAACAAATTTGGGGTGTGGGCCTGGGGGCCTTGCTGTGCGACCGTTCTATGTTCAGCTCACAGCTCCACCACCTCCTTCTCCCACGCTCTCTGGGTTCGCTTCTTATCTGCAAAATAGGGATTAAGCCTACCTGATTGCGACGGTTTGCTGCAGTAGTATCAGCATGTGCTTTTGGGTATGTTGTACTGGCACTAAAAATAAATAGCCATTATTCTTACTATTTTTTCTGAATTTTATGATTATAGATTTTTCCTCTTTGACTCTGTCTCTGATACTTTATAGGAGTTTTCAGGTAATTAAAAAAAATATGACTAGCTAGTTTCTTTAAGTATGGTGAAAACTAATACATATTTTCCTACTTGCCTCACCCTAAACTGAAATCAGAGGAAAGATGAAAGGAAACATTTGTCTGTGTGTTCTTGGCAAGTCCCTCCCCAGGGTGAGTCAGTGAAGATACTCTTGGTTGTTAGAACTGCTTTACTCGGTTAGTTCAAGAAGAGGCCAGTGGAGCTGAGAGTCATGGGGAACCTGGGTCATTTCGCACATAGGAAAATCATAATTTTGTTTGAGAAGAATTAGCAAACAAACGTCCTTTTTTACTGGGGTAATTGGGGAGGGCTTTGGTGGGAAGGCTCTGTGAGTGATTTACTACCCACCACCATACCCTGTATAGGGGATGCATCCTAACTGGTTCTAGTTGGCAATATCTTTTCATCTGTTAGTGATTCTGAACTAGCTATTGGGGCATATGGTGTAGATTTAGCTTGATTTTTGCCCTGGTGAGATTATGATCAAACAAGTGAATAATCTAATGTTCTGAAAAGAAAACTTTTAGAGTGACTTGAACAAAGAGGACATTTTACCCAGCTTTCTGAAATTCTAGTTCTGACTTCTATTAATTAGCTATTGCACTTCTATATCATCTACTTTGGGCCTCAGTTTCTTCATCTGTAAAATCAGGAAGCTAGTTTTTAGATTGGCATTTTGAGGCAGAGCGGGGTTTTGTGAATTTTCTGAATGTAATACCTACTTTTGGATGTGTTTGTATTTTTCTAAATGCTAGATTCTTTTACACATCCCAAGCCAGAAGTTTCTGTGACCTTTTAATACTTAAGAAAGTGGGTGAAGGAGTGATTTCAAGATTTGACCTAAATTTACAAAATAGTTAACCTCCACAGTAGATTAAAAAAAAAAAATTAAATGACCAGAGTGTTGTGACTAATTTAAGGCTATATGAATGTATCTAGATTTTTTTTTCCCACACCAACATTTGCTTTAATGTACTCTAATACACACCTTAAAGGGTGTGTATATTTATATATAAGCTACATAAATATATTTAAATATATGACATAGCTGGATTATGAAAGCTGTATTTTGTTTTCACTCCTATCTCTGAATTCTCACTTCCCACATGACACAGTTGAGAGTGACCCACCCCTTAAAATTGGATTTGTTTTGTTGTTCCAGACATCAAAGCGAACATTAATTTAAGAACATTTAATAATTGTCATAGAAATGACATTGAATTAATAAGAATAAATAGCAAATAGTGTTATTACTTACTTATTACTTTTACCTTCAGATCTCTGTTGTCTTACACCAGGGGTATCTAATGAAGCTGATGCAGGAGGACATACAGGGAAGAATTAAAAACTGTGGGAGGTTTGTACTTCCAGTCATTTAGGTGTTCTGGCAACTGGCAAACAGAAGAAATATCATTTGCCTCAGAATACAGGTGACACCCTTGTCTCTCCATTGTGTTCATGGTTCCTTGAGAACTCGGATATTGGTGGCCAGAGCTGTCTGGTTATACCACTTTGGAGGCTGAGGAGCATGAGGTGGGGCCTCTCATCTGGCTGTTGCTGCCTTCTCTTCTCCAGACTGAGGAAGGCCATGGGACTGTGCAGGTCATTAGTCAGGCCTACTTACATAATCATTCCAGCTCGTCATGTAGTGGTTTCTGAGCAGGCATTTTGTAGCCACTGAGATAATGGTGTCCTGAAAATCAACCCCCATAGCACCATTCCTTTGGGTCCTCTTTGTCCATACCCTGGTAATCTTTTTCACCCTAATTGTCATATGGGGGTTGAAGTTTTCTATCTCCCAACTGCCTTTTGTGGCCCAAACATTCTCTATTCTAGGTAATTCCTACTATAAATTCTCAAACTGCTGCTGGGGGGTTGGCAATCTTATTTGGAATCGTGTCACATAGGTGTTTTGTCTTGTGCTTTATTGGTTCATTATAACTTGAGGCAATACATAAATGAATTTCTTTCCATTATGAATCTTACAAAAGATTTTTATTTCCATTTTTTTCCCCTCTAGTAATCTCTCCCTCTTCTACCAAATATCTGGGATCTCACAATCAAAGGAAGATGTGGTTGGGCTTTTAGAAGTATGCCTTTAAGCAGATGCGTCCTTTGTGTGTGAGGGTGTGGATGGAGTTCAAGGGCTGCTTGAAGCTATTTGCATGACTGGGCCTAAGCCACAGCAGTTTTTTTATTTTCAGTTGCTTTGTTTTTCCCCCACCCCTTAGGAAATTGGCAGTCAGTGACTGATTTTTTTTCTTCTCCTTGATACAGATATGCAAGGGTACAACTGTAGACAGAGAAAAAGGAAATGTTTACACATTCAGCAAATAATCAGAATATGTGGAGGATGTGTGTACACACATGTACTTGCTCTATAACTGGATAGGTGGTATTTTTTTTTAAATGCTATATATTTATGTATTTAATTTAGAAGCACTTAGCACTTCTGATGGTACTTAGGTGTATAGTCTCAGCAGTCTTTTTCTTTTTTTTTAAGATTTTATTTATTCATGAGAGAGAGAGAGA